TATTTGGGGTGGCGTGTTTTACAGCGCTTTGCCAACAGCGCCAACCCACTGAAGTCTGACCCGCCGCCGGGGGGGGACAAAACATCGTTCAGGCATATGCCCTGGTGACGTCGTAAACCTAGGGCCGCGTACCGCTACTCACGTACCCCGAGTATGCAACACCGAAACTAGAGTTGAGACCCCTTTCGTTGGGAGCAGCCAGACGGTGCAGACGGTCCTGTTGGACTTGAAGGAGAAGGGGCCCACGGACCAGGATAGACAAGTGTTGCACGCCGACGTAACGAAGAAGCTCGGGCAAGCCGCGAGAATTTTGTCTGATCGCTTTTCACCGACAGTCGCCGTAGCCCTCGTGGACCAATTTCTGACGATGGTCAATGTGCAAACAGGCGGGGTAGGAACTACAACGACGGGAGGGCGGGGGGCGGCTCTCTTCATGGCCAACCCTGGGACTCTTCGCCTGCCCGCTAGGACAAGTAATAAAGGACGACCTGGCGCTGCAGAAAAATACACAAGAGGGGGTAGCCAGAGAGTCGGGTTCTAAGAACGTCGGCGTGCAACACTTGTCTATCGTGGTCCGTGGGCCCCTTCTCCTTCAAGTCCAACAGGACCGTCTGTACCGTCTGGCTGCTCCCAACGAAAGACTTCCACCTCCCGCTGCATCCCCCCACCCCCCCTCCCTCTTCCTCTCACGCCGCCCCGTCTACTTCTCCCGCAGCGTGGCGGTTGGATACCACCCATCGAGGGCGGGCGACATCCGGCCAGTCCTGCTGCGGTGTTCCCCTCGCCTTTTCCGTCAGCCAGTGCTCGTGCAGGAGGCCTACGTGGAATCTGAANGGGAGGCCTATTTGGAATGTGAATCGGGGGCTGTGCATCATCGCCGCCCACACGTGGCGACAAAATAGCCCGAGAGTTTGGAGCGTGAGGCACTGGCAGAGATGGCTACCGTCGGAAAAGAGCAAGACGAGGTAGTCGAAGCCCTTGCCATCACGCTGCTCGTGAATACCGAAGACGTAGATGACGTCGCAAAGCTTGCCCTCGATGTACTCGAACGTGTGCCCCAAAGCTGCCGCGCGTTCTGGTCCATCCACCTCCCCACCACCCATCTGGCAAAACATGATGGCCGCGGTCATCTCTTGCTCCATGAACCGCCGCGGCCAGCTCGCGATGGAGAACTCGCAGGACTCGAGCACACTTTTGAAAGCGGTCGCTGGTGGAGCCACCATCCGATTAGGCGGCAGATGGTCGATGGCGTCTCGCAGCATGGCGGCATCCTTCTGGGAACAGATGATGCCCGAAAAGTACTTCACCACGTCCAAAAGCGAGGAGCGGGAGTTGCACTTATCCCTGATGAGGGCGTTTTGGTCTGTTGTGTGTGCGGCGGACAAACACGCAAGAAGCGACACACAAACCAAACCGTGGGTTAGTGATTGGTGTCATCAGACATCGTCGAAGTCGCAGTACGCCAAACGACTGAAAGAGAAGCCTATGACCTGACGCACCCATCGCCACAGATGTATGTACACGTGAGCCGGACGATCGCAGTGCACCGACCAAGTACATCAATCCCGAACACCAGGGGCCGGACAACAGCCATATGTTTCGAAGAGGTCGTAAACGTTAGCGGCATGTAGGGAGTTGTTTACTGGTCATTCACTGACTGACGGCGTACGATAAATTCGTCAAGAAGCATTCACCAATGGCATAGTAAATAGGGGGCAAGGAAGATAGCCGCCCCCAACCCCTACAGACGTAAAAAAACTCCCAAAAACAACGACAACGCTACATGCGCTGTCATTCTCGAACAAAACGCTCATGGCAGATGACGCATAAACGCACCTTCAACTCTTGATGTCGTCCACGAACTCACGGAGAACACCAGGGGCGACACATATTCCGCCCACCGTGCGCGGTCGTCATATACCACTCGCATGTACTTCTCCGCCTTCGGGTGCTTTTCGATGAGGGCGTTGAACTTCCGTTAGAACTTCGCCAATGACAGCTGCTGACGCACACACCTGAACTCGTCCATGAAAGGCTGCGGAAAACACAAACGACGTAGGCCGGGTGGGTGTTGCGTGAGTTGGGACCTCGGCGATGAGCTACCGGTCTGTACGATTGACTGCCCCCAACAACCCCCGTACATTTCGTTAGCGCTAAGGCGAGACGAGGAGAGGGTTGGAAAAACTCAGCGACAAACCATTGGTGCTTACAACCTGCTGCTGCTGCTGCTGCTGCTTTTTCCGTGTGCACTGGACGTCGTGAGGTATGCTTCCGTCGAAGCCGAGGTCGTCTCCGCATCACGGTCTACGCAGGGACGCTGGATATCACTCTTGCAAGTAGACGACTCCATGACAACGCACCAACTCGCACAGGGGATACAAGCGGGAGTGGGGGAGGGGGGCTAGAGTGGGCAGCGTACGTCGCGCGACCAGGACAATACGAGAGGCCAGACTAACCACGCCAACACACACAGTAGAGCGCACCTTCATGTCCCCACCAAGGACTTTAGCGAGGGCCTTGATGATGTTCTGGTTGAGGTGCCATAAACAGCGCCTCGCCAGCGCGTCCGGGAACACCTCGCGCACCGCCGCCGTCATCGCCGCATCCGCGTCCTAGATGAAGATATCCGGCTGCTTCCCCCCGCGAGACTCCAACGCAATCTTCAACATCCACAGATAAGTGTCCGTTGCGGTGTCCGCCGTTATGCTTTGGCCGACGATCCGCGTCCGATACTCCGAACCGATGACAGCGAGCACACCGAGGGGCATCCGGTATCTGTTCTTGACGGCGGTGTCGTCGTAGAGCGCAATGTGACCGTACCGATTCCAAAGCGCCACCTGCGTATTCGGAGCATGACGTCGAAGGGGGTCGAGAGCACTTAATTGTGGGTGTGACGTGTGTTGGACGCGTCACAACGCACCCCCACCCTTGCCTACGGCCTGCTTTCGGTCAGACGTCCTACATTTGNAACGTCCTTCATTTGCGGACGGCCAAGCGGTACGTACGAGATGCTAGATGAGAGCAAACCTTCCGGCTGGGGAATATTCGTATGGGGCACAACGACCGGCGGCCTACCTGCTCTCTCGTTTGCCACCAGATGTGCGTCAAGCGGCCGCTGTCATCCATCTTTATCTCGCACACTCCGCCGTCGGCCGTCGCGGCCAAGACCTGAAATTGCAACATGTTAAGCGCCCGGAAACATCGAGGGGATCAGCGCAAAGCCACGACGACGGCACGCCACAATTTTTTTACCGCCAACATTTCTTGGTTTGGTGTCATGGGGTATATATTCTCCCGGTTGTCACCTGCGATCGTGTGTGTCTCGTCGCCCGGTTACCGCCTTGAGCAAAACCCAACATCCCACACACAAACAAAAGAGGCAACACTCTCAACGGACACATGAACACACCTCTTCGTACGCATCGGCGGCATCTCTCGGCTTCTCCGCCCCGTGCACAGTGGCAGCCGCGTTCTGCACCGCGCGCTTGTTGATGTCGATGTCGCCGTCCTCGTGCAACGCCTTCATTGCTTTTGTCACCTCTTTTGGCTTCATCCCATGACCTGCGCCGTACGGGAGAGCCGGGAGCACAAAAATAAGTGGCGTGTCACCGACAAACAGGGTAACAACGTGGAGGCGACAGCAGTACCACACTTCACGGGCCGTTCGTCATGCGGCATCATGACTACCAACCATGACAAACGTGGGATACGACGGGAGCTACTGTAGACCCACTCCTCGGCGTTCAATTTTCACACTTGTCNTCCTCCATTGTTTTTGTCACCTCTTTTGGCTTCATCCCATGAACTGCGCCGTATGGGAGAGCCGGGAGCACAAAAATAAGTGGCGTGTCACGGACAAACAGGGTAACAAGGTGGAGGCGACAGCAGTACCACACTTCACGGGCCGTTCGTCATGCGGCATCATGACTACCAACCATGACAAACGTGGGATACGACGGGAGCTACTGTAGACCCACTCCTCGGCGTTCAATTTTCACACTTGTCATCTGCTTCACTTGTCCCAGCTGCTCCTCCGTTAGTTTTGATGCGAGGCGAACCTGGACATCGATGGCGTTACGGTCGACGCTGTGGTTGTGCTTGAGCTTCATGTTGCTAATCTTGGGCCACCTGTGGGACTTCGCGTGCCGGACGCTAACCTGAAATAACGGAACGGTGGGTCCACAATAACGATAGAAGAGGAAAAATTGAACGATGGATACGTGGGATATGTGTGTGTGTAATGGATCACAACATGGATCATGGATCACAAGACATCCGACCGACCCCTCCCGGATTATATATACGCAGTTCGGACATCTTTTTCAATCTCACGATCAAAGACCTCAGACACCTGTTGGACCCTTTCTCCGTCCACTGCACCAAGACATGTTCCGCGGGAGACCAGCTACGTACCTCAAACGGACAACCAGTTCTCGCGCTTCCCTTTACGTTCCGCCGTAGTACCCCAGGTGCTGCAACACGCAACGACATGGGAGACGGAGGATAGGCGGGGTGTCATCGGCGGTGTGTCATNTCATGCATTCACCTGCACCAAAGCATGCATGCAAACAACAAGCTTGCGCGCGACTGGCCCCGTATTCGTCGCCTCAACCATTCTGCTAGCATGCCCAAGTGCCACGGATGAAACGCTTACCGGTGTCTAGACTGGCTTCGNAAAGACCAGCTACGTACCTCAAACGGGCAACCAGTCCTTGCGCTTCCCTTTGCGTTCCGCGGTTGTACCCCAGGTGCTGCAACACGCAACGACATGGGAGACGGAGTATAGGCGGTGTGTCATCGGCGGTGCGTCATGCATTCACCTGCACCGAAGCATGCATGCTAACAACAGGCTTGCGCGCGACTCGCCCCGTATTCGTCGCCTCAACCATTCTGCTAGCATGCCCAAGTGCCACGGATGAAACGCTTACCGGTGTCTAGACTGGCTTCGTACTCCAGTTGCCGGCTCTTCCCGCCTCGGCTACAAATCAGCTTCCTCATGCCCACACGATCCGTTGCGCCGTCGCGACACCTCGTCGACTTCGCGGTAGAAAGGATCGCCCCTTCACCGGCGCACCACCTCACCACCTCCTCCTCCACGTCTTCAAGCGTCTTTCCCTCCGTCTGCACTGCCTCCAGCTTCGCCTNGCCGGCTCTTCCCGCCTCGGCTACAAATCAGCTTCCTCATGCCCACACGATCCGTTGCGCCGTCGCGACACCTCGTCGATTTCGCGGTAGAAAGGATCGCCCCTTCACCGGCGCACCACCTCGCCACCTCCTCCTCCACGTCTTCAAGCGTCTTTCCCTCCGTCTGCACTGCCTCCAGCTTCGCCTTTAACACAGCCAGAACGTACTCCTAGTGTTCAAACCGCAATACGACGGGTCATATAGCGGCACGTGCTTCGGGGTGTGGACGATTCTACAGCACAGTAGGATGTTGGAGCATCGAGCACAGAAATATCCGAACTGGATTACTGTACTACAGCACCGAGCAGGCGAATACAGCGGGCAAGTCACACAGGATGAAAATTCTTGTAGGTACACCCAGACCAACACATGCATGGCGTCGTTGACCCATGCCATCGCAGCCTCCCCGTCGTGCATGAGGGTGCAACACTACGGGCATTGTCACCTGCGTTTCCGGCAGAGGGCTGGTGGTCAATGTCTGCTGCTGTTGTTGCTGTACGGGGTGGGCTTGTGCAGGGTCGCCCGCAAAACCTCCGGCGGCCCCAGCATCGGGAGCACCCACAGGGGCCGGAGTTCCCAACGGCAGACCAGTGCGAGGTGAAAGCATGGCCTGCAACCGCACGCGAAACCCACCACGCGGCGGAAGGGAAGGACACCATGTCAACGTTTGATCACAAGACAAGACAAATGGCACGCTTCGCCGTCCACCGCTGAGTACACGAAAACAGCGAACCGTACGCGCACGCGTTCAGCAGCGATAATCCATTGGCGTGCTACACCCACGGAACAAACATTGCCGATGTCACGCCGAACCGCACTTGTCAAACACCAACCCGTCTCGCCTGCGTTTCCGGCGGAGGGCTGGTGGTCAATATCTGCTGCTGTTGTTGCTGTACGGAGTGGGCTTGTACAGGGTAGCCCGCAGAAGCTCCCGCAGCGCCAGCATCACGAGCACCGTAAGAGGCCGGCAGAGAAGCACTGGATGGAAGCATTCCTAGCAATGACACCACCGCACGGCAGGCCACGGGTCCCACGACGCGAGCATGAAGGGTAGACACATGAAGTTAAGGGGTTGGGCAAGTGCGTGCACATGCCAGCACCTCTACCAGCCCAGTATTGTAGCACCGCCACACAGCCGAGCAGCAAGAAGAAAAGACTCCGGATTACACGGCAAGGACAACAGGCAGGGCCTGGCCTGGCCTGACCACACCAGTGCAGGCACATGATCACCAACGTACGTACGACGGCAACAACAGGTACAGAGCAGCATCGACAGCGTGGGACAGCATGAGGGAGGCTGCAACACAAGAGACAGACTAACACACACGTGGCGCTGGCGCGGGTGCGGCCCTTGCTATCTTATTCTAGAAAAAACATCACAAGAGAGGGTGAGGGTGAGGGTGAGGCACAGACACAGAGGATGCACGAACGGCTGTCGGGACGGGATCTCACCAGTTATCGTTGTGTGTCGTCTCCTCGTGATCCCCCAGCGTGCGGGTGCGTGTTGCCGCCTTCAGACGGCTCTCCGCCGCCGCCGTGATTATGTGATTGTAGCTGCTTTTTTATTAGAGGGAGGAGAACCTCTTCGGGGACGCTCCGGGCGGTTTCCCGGGGTTTCGACCCGTCTGGATGTTTGGACTGTGGTTCTCTTTATTATCCATGGATTGCAAATATTCGCCCCCCCCTCTTTCGTCCGTGTGAAGGACGGTCGTCTACCTCTCGCGAAGTTGATACATCACCAAAACAGTCTCACCCAATAAATAAGTGGCGTAGGCCGCAAACAGGATTCATTATGGCATTTGCATGTAGAGTAATTCTCGACTTTTGGCCGTTCCAGGGACCTGATATTATCCGCTGGCACTGCTGTGACGTCTTCGCATTTGGACACGGGGTAGCGCGGTCGATGCGAATAATAAAGGCACACCTAACTATTGACTTGCAACACCTAGCGTGGAGGGATACAGGGCAACAACTCCATGGCATGCCACAACACCATCATTTGCAAGTGATTACTCAATGATCACTCAGTACGCCTGTAGACCCACCAGGGTTAAGTACAACCCACATATAAGATATAAGAAGCAAGTCTCAACCCTCAACACTAAGTCTCAACACTACTGCTGTAATCTGTTTGTATGCATACCAGACCGAAAGCGTGTATAGACTGGCATCAGAATGGATGGGACGCGGGCAGGCGCACGCACGCTTACCACGGCGCTTGGTGTTTCACAGCATTCATGCGTAATATGAATGCGTAGTCTACATGGACCGCTGCACACCGCAGTACATACAGACAATGAACGAACATGAACATAATCATGGAACCCCCCGAAACGACTTACAGCAACGAAGGTTCGGACTTCAGCAAACTGCCTGTCTGTTGTTCGAGGCGCAAGTCTCATGTTGGAGGTGGAGTGGGACCTGCTATGCATAGGACTCTAGGGTAAGCGGTCCATGTAAAATTCGTGCTTCAGCATGAGAGAAGGGACCCAACAATCGTCTCACGTGGCATCGGCCGCGGGGACAAGTTTCGCTGCTAGTCCCCTCGAGACAGCTTCCATGGCATGGGTCCCGCCCGCAGAAGTTATGGACGATGCCCGCCCTTTGGTGCCGTGGCCTCTTGCACTCAGGGATGTCGCACGACCCGGGTGCCGTTCGCGCCGCCATGGCTGCCTATTCTAGTCTTGCTTGCTTATCTCCCACTCTGGGCTGTCGGTGCTTATCGCGCGGGTGGTGAAGCCAGTGCAACAGAGTGCAATGTGGGGGCACGCCGAAGGCAACCGCACCTACCTATGCCTTGCGGCGGATATGTGTCATCATGTCATAATCCGTGACTGGTTCTTGTATGTCACCAACAACCGGGCGGCTCTGCAACTCTGTGAGTGTGTATGCATACTTCCACACGCCTCGCACATCCGCATGTACTAAGTTCATTTCTAGGTAGGGAGGAAATAGACGAACACCTGCGATTGATTCTGAACTGCAGCTTGAACAACTAACTGCTCACGGTGCACACTGGCTCTATTCGTCAAGGATCCCAAAATCCACCAAGAATTGCGTGTCTACTCATACATGCCAGCAATAATATTAGCATAGGAAAATACACACACCGAAAGACTGCCCGACTCGTTCGAAATAAACTCTAACCACAACAGTCGAACGAAGGTATAGTCTATACACTCCGCAGAACAGCTACCGAACGCACGCTAACGATGCCGGTTCCCAACTGTGACAGATTCGGGGAAACCCGAAACTCGATGAAGCGCAACGGAGCTGGGCGGCGCGGTCGTCGTTAGTGCAGGTGTGCGCTATTTCGCAAGGAACTCCAGTCCGAAACAGGTCGTGACCTCGTTCACCAACCTTTCAGCCTGATACTGGTGTAGTTATCGGGGGCAGTTTCGTGTGACTGCTGTGATGATATTCGAACTTGGGATTCAAGAATTCGGGCCCAACACGAGAAAAATCACGAAACTAACTGGCAGGTGCTGTGAGTATCCCCAACCAACCTGTGCTACATGCTGGTACATCGGTCGCCCCGGTGGTTTGGTGGTATCCTCGTATTCCGCTAGTTGCAGAGGTGGTGAGTTCAAATCCCCATGGGGTGAAAATTTTACGAAATGTGCGGGTGAAAGCGAAATATAGCTGACAAGCTCTAGTGAGTACCAAACTTCGACGTTAGCACCGTGACGAGGGAAAGAAAGGGACGGCTGGACCCTTGTCGCGATAAAAATAAATTCAGCTCGCACCGCAGGAGGAAGGTGGGGCATGAAAAGAAATAAAAAGAAGAAAAAAGCCCTGGTGTTTACCCCCTCCTGTGTTTTTGGTTTGTTTTTCTCCCATCATTGGACTCTGTCGTCTGCCTTCTGGCCCCTATCCTCCACTTCTACTAGCTAGACGACCCAACCGGGGTCACATAGGAGGGGGGGGTTGGACCCCCTCCTGTGTGACCCTGGATGGTTGTAGTTGTACGAAAAATACACTGAAAGGTGTAGTACTCTACATACGCTGAAAAGTGTAGTACATGTCTCACCTAGAAAAATGGGGGGACTGTCGCCATAATAAATAGGACGAAAACACACACACACATACATGCTGTCGGGTTTCCCCACAGAGAAACACACGAGATGCTTCGTGCGAAACAACGGATGCTGTTGATCCCAAAATTCGGGGAGTTGCTTGACCAATGATGATGAACGCACCGGACATGTCAAGAGTGAAACATTTTTTCGCTCGGAAGTGACAATGATTTAGGTAATATTTATGAAGTACATGTTACCCTTATTCGGCATGATTTCCACGCCCCCCCGCAGGGATTGATTTCTAATTTTCTGTGGGCCACAGGCGCGGGATACTGAATGATGAAACGAAGCATCCAGTCCTTGGATAGATCGCACTTCTTGTTTACACTTACGCCCCCAAACCGGCCAGCTGCTGCCGATGCGGCTGAAGAAAACGCATAGATAATCTGGAAGGCGCGCCTGCTGTGCCAAGCAGTTTGAACAATAATGACAAGCGCTCTCTACGAATGGGTTAGTGCACTGCATTCCTGTACGCCACAAAGCCCACAAGTTCAGAGCGAGGGACCTGGGCAACCCCGTTGGTCCATCTACCTCGCAACTGCGAATGTCACTCCTGAGCGGTCTTGCTGGTTGGCGTCCTCGCTCCTTGACTGCGCTCGTTCCCCTGTGCATCCTCTACGAAAAGTAATCCTGCATCAAACCTCCCTTCCACATCCACCCGCGTGCCCAGAACACGGCGTTTCCTACATTGTGATGAAGTGTCTCTTCCTGGAATCATTACAGTACGCAAATCTTTCATTTTGAGCGGATACGCTCGTGTTCCATTCTTTGGCATAAGCGAGTCCATATCATGGATCACATAATGATGTAGCCAGCAATTTGCCCCGAATTTCGTGCTTCATAATTCTAGTCCTCATCCTTTATTCGGTCCTGTTCCCTCTTAGCCCCCTTACCACGCACAGAAAATTCGGCGTTCTTGCGAAATTTCTGAGATGTAAGAAAAAGAGCGAACGACGCCTGCTGATTGGATGGTGCAGATAGCTCCATCCCTGGGTGCAAGTGCAAAGCTGCCTTCCCACTTGAGCCGTCCCTTGCCAATAATCCTTATCAAATGTCCCCTCGAATCGAGAGGACATTTGATAGGGATGATAGACAGTAACTGGCGGGAGCGTGGTAAACGGGGCACGAAAAGGAGGTTTTCAAGATATTTCTCAAGAGGGAACCCAAGCCCTAGGTTGCCCGGTGCCTCCTATCAACGGTGGGCTAGGTACTTCTTCCGCGCTTGCCCCTATTAATACTAGCGCTTTCCACCCAAGGGTAGACAGAAGAGGCGCAACTTCGCTGTTGAACCCGCGGCGTAATCGTCCCCCGATTCGACCTGTTCATCACCCTCATACTCCTCCACTCTACAAAGCATACAGTCGTCCCCGTGTACCCTGGCACCCCCCTGGTCGAGTAGTTCAAAGCAGGAGACAATCGTGCCATTCTTCGCGAGGTTAAGCAGGTGAAGAAGATGGGGACAAAAAGTGTCCCCAAAAGGCGATCTAGCCCTAAGGGGGATAAAATCAGCACTCCGTCCCATGTGACAGAGCATTACACCACATGCCGATATTCTCCCGCCGTCAATTCTTCACCCAGTTTTCGGTCCATCTACGCCCCGGTCATCTGGTAAACGTTACCGCACCTGAAACCACATCCACGCACACAGCAAAACCTCCTTGCTTCCCAGAGCAAAGACCTATCCTTCACGCTTGAGCCGCGAAGCACTCGATACATGACACTCAGCCCGACAACTTTAAACGTCAACTCGGCTCTCTGAGACTAATCACGCCTCCTCGCCGTAGGGGTCGTCGTCATCATCCAATTCCCCGTACATCGCGTCGTCATCCTCATCGTCATCCTCCTCCTCCTCCTCCTCCTCCAACTCTTCCGCAGCTACCACGCCAGAGGGCTCATCGCCGTCCTCTTCGCCCTCGACTTCCTCCACTCTTTCCGTGGCCACCGGGGCGGCGGCAGCCACAGGTCCGCTTGCCGCTGTCGCCGCTGGGGCCACCACTGCCTTTGTCCCTCGAGCAGCTGCCGCAGCCGAAGCAGCACCAGCGCCACTGCCGGCGGCAGCAGCAGGCGAAGACTTGCCCGAGACGCTGGGGAGAGCGGCCAACCCACCCGATTTAAGCAAGGCAAGCGCGTCCTTGATCGCTTTCTCTCCGCCGTCATTCGGCCCGGCCCTGGCCCACGGCGCCTTGACCACCGCCGCCGGCTGGGCGATCGGGGCGACTCTCTTGCCGCCGCCCCTGCCCGCGCCGCCACCAGCGGCGGCCTTCGGCCCAACATCGCTGCAGGCGGCAGTGGCGGTGGTGTTTCCGCGCCGCGCGGGCGGCAGCACGGCACCCCCGGTGAACGGCTTGAGCATTGCCGGGGTGGAGGAGGAAGACAGGCTTGCGGTGAGCGGCGATTTGCCCCGGCCGCGGATTCCCTTGCTGTTCTTCGATGGCACAGGGGGTGCCAGATTGTCCTCGAAAACTTCTTCCATGACGTCATCACCCTCTGTCCGCACGCGCAAAGACAACGAAGTAGACACACACAAAGTCAGCTGGTTGGCCTGAGAAACAGCATCACCCATACAAATGGGGCGGACAGCGGGAGCCGGAATAATCGGAGATGAGGGAGGGCGTCGGAATTGAATCGAAGGTTGCGGTGAAGACCGACGATGCAAACGACTCAGCCAGCGCGGGCGCCCATCACACGATTTTATGAACGATGTTGCGGAAATTCACCCATCCAGCCGGCCGTCTCTTGAGCATCACACCACCATCTCAAGCGAGAATTGACACATGAACCGTTTCGTCGCGGCACGACCGCGATGTGATGCAAAGGACAAGCGCCATTGACAAACAACAGGACCGCACGCGGCGGTGCCATGAACCTCGTGAAGATAAACAACGCCGTAAGCTACAAGCTGGTCTGGCCAAGAAGCGGATTGTGAAGGTTGGAGCGGGTTTCCCACGCCGTTTATTCGAATTAGAACCTGAAATTTTGACACGGCATCTGCATGAGTACACACAAACAAGTAAGCCACTGCGACATTCGGATTGTTTTTTTTTTTCATGAGTTAGGCTGATACTCGAGTATTAGTAATCATGGGAGTATTTGCTATGCGAACAAGCCGCCGTAACAAAGAAAAAAGTAAAATGGCGCAGTGGTTGTTTGTTTGTTGTACTCACGAGGATGCCGTGTCGAAATTTCAGGCTCCAATTCGAAAAAAACGCGTGGGAATCGCGATTCCTTCCCATTCTCTCGGGTATATTGTGTGTTGTGTCGGATTCTTTACGAGGTCATAACTTCTGTTGGAACATGCCTTGAGCGTTGAAACTACCATCTATCCTCTCGCGATGTTCCCAGGTACATGCACAGCAATTTTCAGCCTGATCTGAGAAACTTGTTTTAGGTTGATTTCAGTACACGGAGCATCCCCCACTATGCCGCCAATTGATAATTATATACATAAATCAACTCAGATCCGAACAATTCCGGCACCTGCGCTTCCCCTATGGTTTTATTAGAGCAGCTGCCAAATCTAAATTCGTAGAAACAGCAGAGTGGGACGTGAAAGAACGATAGCTTCTTGGTCAGACCAGCTTGTAGAGTCCACCCCTGCTGCACACTCCGAGTAGGGAGTCCTGCCCGCTCGTGTGTTCCATAAGCCAAAATGAGAACAGCCTAGGACAGCCGTACTCACACACGGTCTGAAACAACGTAACACAAGCACATCTGCAAAAGGTCAACCGACCTGACTACATTGGAGTCGGTCTACCCAATGTTCGGTCGTGCTTCCTGCCTTCCCTCTCCCGGTCGCACTTACCGTTAACCTGCTTGAGGCTCCCGTCGAGATTCATGACCCGCTGGAGAGCAGCGTGGTCGATCTTGAGCGACTTACTCTTGGCGGCCTCCAACGAGATGGCTTCGCCGAAATTCTTGCCGACGGCATGGGACCCGCTGCAGTTCGAATGAAGCGCCAAAAGAACGGGGGTGAGAGTGCGACGTGGATGCCGAAGCGATGCAGTTGCCAGCGTGATGAAGTCCTCAGCTTCGAAAATGATTGAGTTGAGAGCAAGACGGGACGCCAAGGCTATGGAATGAGGTCTTTCAACAAATTATAAAGCTGTGTATCCTATCAGAGCCCATCAGGTGTGGGACCCAGAAAACAGGAGTGCATCAATCATTTCAGGAGGATGAGGCCACTGTGGAAACTGGCTAAAACCCATATGAGAACACAGAGCAAGCCCAGAGTGAAATCACTGCGAACAACTCGTTGACACAATCGTACTCGTGTCATTTGCAGACCGTCAGAGACAGTGTCACCGGCCAGAGGAGAGACATGTTCGTGAAAAACCAGATGGCATGGGACTAGTGTCAACCAGCCTCGCAATTTCGTACTGTACGTAGTTCGAAAGTGAAAACCAAGTGAAACCAGACACCAGAGTGAAACCGTTCGCTAATCAAACGCCGGTGAAAGATTTGAGCTTTGCGAAGGCTAAACTCGTTGCCCGAAAAGCCATCCGAGAGCGTCCGATGTGTAGCACCGATCCGTAGGCCGGCACCGCCTGCAGCTCAGCGGAATGAAGTCAGGCTCCAGAGCTTGAAATGAAGAAATACACTACACCTTGAACGAAGCGCAAGCGACACAGTGAATCTTGGCACGAGCGGCGGCGGTCTATTTCGTGTAGACTTGTACGACGCCGAACGCCAAAGGGAAGTGAGAATTAGTATTTTCAGCAGTAAGGTTATATCCTTGCAAATCATAAAAGCTCAGTACCCACCCTGTCAAAGCCGCCAGGCGGAACCAAGAAAAACAGGGCTAGAACCCAGGGAAAAAAGAATAATCATAAACCTACTGTCCTGAACCGGCCATCCACTAACACAGTGCTCCCGGAACAGGACAGCAAGAGAGTCGCAGATAAACAAGTGGTTGAGCTACCCATCCCGGCTTCCGCATGGCCAGCACATGCAGACGTTTCAAGGAGAAAACATGTCACCGTTCAGAGTGAAGATATGCTTGTGATTGCGGTACGGGGGATGGCGTGCTTAGTGCTTCAGAAGAGAACCCAGAGTAAACATTTGCATGACGTTGCAACTGTGCGTTGCGCAAGTGAAATCAAACGTCAGGAAACAATGGAGCGGTGACGCATGTGCCGGCACCGCCAATAATGTCAGGCCGCCGAATATGTCACCAAATGGGGAATGCCACATGAAACAATTGAAAATGCGAGGAAGGACCTCAGTCAGGAGTGAGGAGTAGAGGGAAAGTGGGGACGGAAGTGAAAACAAGAACTTCGGGGCCCACGCTTGTCCGGCGCGAGAAAAGCGTAAGGAGGCGCCGTGCCACGTTTGACAAGCTGTTAAGTATAATATATCGGCCTATTTAATAAGAAGGACGGTTTATAGTAGCAAGAAACGCATATCGTGGGTGCGGATGGAGAGCGAGTGAATGACATACCGTTGGACGTCAGTGGTCCACCCTCAAATCCAAGAGGATGAATTCATTCACAATAGACCACAATGAAGACATATCATATACCATTGGAATATCATTCCCACAGACTAACGCGCAACGTGAGGGTGAAATTGCTCATGGATGTAACGAAGAACAAATCCGTGTAGATTGAACATTGGGCGCTAAGCCGGAAACGCAGCGCCAGAATGAAACAAAATAGACTCGCCATCGGGATAAGAGTTCAGAGTTAATAACGTGTGAAACACAGCGTCCGTCTGAGCATTGAACGTTGAGACTGAAGCGGGCTGCGACTGAAGCGGAACGTGAGAATGAAATCAACCGCGTGTGAAAGAACCTCCGAGCATTAGGCGCTCGGACTGAAACCCAAAGTGAGAGTGACCCATGCATGGATCGAGAAATACCTCAAACATCTAGGGGTAAGAGTGAAACCGCTGTCACAGGACGCACGACCAATATCGCAAACGCGAACGCACACCTACAGCGCGTCACTGACGGATGAATGCAAATCTCCAGCACTCAATCACTTCAAGCGCCGTGTGTAGGAGAACGGGTGAGAGATTCGTTTTCATCTGTTGAAGGGCACTACGATGGAGGGGGAATGAGTGAAGGGAGAGAGAACGGGCCACGTACGACCTCGTCACACGGTTTGCTGCTCGCCCGATCTGAGCCCGCTGAATGAATTACAGCATCACTGGTTCCTGTGACAAGCTCAAAAAGACGATGCTCACTATGACATAAGAATTTTTGAGGTGGAGACTTCATTTCAAAATACTACACTCTCGGATGTATGGGGAAGGCAAATACGTCATGCGTGCGCCGGACAGAAAATATTCCAGAAACATGGCGATGGAGAACACATAGCACGGGTGACCTCATTGGCAAAAAAAAAAGGGCAATATATGCATAAACATATGCATATGCACATGCGCAAGTACACACGGATAGACCTCACGAACACGGTGCTGCGTATGAACGTGGCGACAGCCAAGCTGTCAGCAAGTATCGGGAAACGAGGGTTGCGCACGAATGGACAGCGGTGTATGTCTCTTTGATCGGGGAAGGCCAAGGCACCGACGTGTGCAAGGCATCGACGGAACGAAAGACTTGCTGGGGGCAAAAGGTGCACACATCGTATGACACTAACAGCGATTATTGACAACAGTGGACAAATAGGGAGGTGGGGACGAGGGGCACGTACTCTGTCTCTCCTCACACTCACCTAAATGTGTACTTGCGCTTCTTTTTCGGAACCCCACCAGGAGGATTGAGACCGGTCTCGTCGGAGAGGATTCTTGATTTTTCGGTCTACCGCAGGAGAGCGAGCGTCCGTCGACGAGAGGCAACAAAAAAGAACAGCGCCGTCGTTTGAAGTGAAGCGTATCCAACGCACAAAACCGGAATGAAACCACGAATTACAACCAGCTGCTACACACTTTCGGCGATAGGCAACAACAGATTACAACAGATTATCACGTTCATATGAAGTATGGAACGTTCATACTGAAGTATGGGACAACCAACACCTCGGTGACGAATATTTCACTTGAAAAACAGCAGGACCAGGTATCAGGGTCAACACGAGGTAATCCCACATGCCCTCTAGGATGGCCCGACAGTCCACTGGGTGCCAAGGCGGTCGAGGAGAAAAGGAAATTACGCGCAGCAAAAACCGAACCGTCACAGTGAAAGGGACGACGGAATGAGCCGGACGCCAACCAACACAAACCGCAACCTGAGCCCGAGCGAAAGGTCAAATGGAAGCGAAAGAAGCACACACCCGGCAACAACGGTGGCACTGAGGCCCTTGGGAAGTCAAAACCTCAAGAGCAGCACCCGCTCAATATTCACCTGGTCTTCCACCCAGTCTTTGTGCTCCTTCTCCCACTCTTTCTTCGTCCTGTCGCTGTCCTCCTCTGTCCTCAAGTACACCCCCCACTCTAGGCCGTCTTCCTCATCGTCCTGCTCGTTGTCATCGCCCTTCTTGTTGCCGTTGTCATCCTCCTTGTTCTGGTCCTTGTTCCCGCTGTCCTCGCCGGCCGCACCCCCGTCTCTGATCTTGAGGGTTTCGTCGGAAGCCGGCGGTGCCGGAGACTTCGCCTGCTGCATGAATGAGGGAGGCGTTGAGAAGGCCGGGGTGTTGTTGTCTTATTGTGGTGGCTGTCGCTGTTGCTGTTGCCGAGGGGTGTTCGCTGCCAAACGCGAAAACTGTTCTTAGTCAGATGCACTGTACCAGTATTCTGTTTCGACAGACGGGTCGGAGATCATGTGTACTACCAGTTTCACTCCAGTAAAAGGCGGTGAGCAGACCCATGGGCCCAGATGCAACCGGATCAAGACTCGTGTAAGAGATTACGACCCACACCGAGGCGTCGGTGGCACTCTCACGAGTAGCTTGTGGGGAAAGCAGTCAGCGCAAGAACCAGAGTACCAAACTCATCAACAAAAAAAGGTTCTGTTTACTCGAAGACCATGCGAGGACGCCATTCAACAGCATACCTTCCCAGCGCTTGTGTCGGCGGTACCGCCGCCACCATCGATATCATTATCGTTGTCTCCTGTAGCCTCCTTGGCCTTGGCTGCCACGCCTGCGCTCCTAACGCCGCCGCTGCCGCCGCTACCGCTGCCGCCTCCACCTCGATCAATGCTCAGGCCCCGCTCTTCGTCCTCGTCGAACATGTTCTCCAGGCAAGAGTATACCTCACTCTCCACCTGCTCAAAATCAAAAGGCAAAAAACCACGCCTGTTTAGTACGTTCCAACGGCGGACTACAGCAGTGGCGTTGTTGGTAGCGTTACTTGCGCGACGGTGGTAAATCACCCGAACAGCCACAAGCGCTAATTCCATAACTGCCATGTAAAAGAATCACGTCGTGCGTTGCTTGGTCATGGCGTATTTGTTCGTCTTGACCGTGCGCTGCTGTCGTTGCGGATGCCCGGAACAGACGAAAAGAACCGACAAAACTGGCGCCAGATGGAGGTCAAAGCTTCCCCGGCATCGTTCTTGCTGAAGACTCTATCAAATGCAGCAGTGCCATCAAACACAGTGCCCGAGCTTTGGTCGTGGTGCACGCGGTAAAACACTTCAAAAGCACAATACTTCACGAGCTACGCGGAGCTCTGCTCAAAACATCTCCCAAACATAAGGACACGTCGCTCTCGTCACCGTAACCGATAGCGTCGGGTTGGGTCTGTTGCCTGCAATCGTCCGCGCTGCGGTTCCCCAACCCCACGTACCTTGCTGCGCTTCGCTCTCGACTTGGCCTTGCTGGCACCCCTCTTGGTGGCCCTAATGTGCAACACGTGCCGCGTCTGCGACACCCGAAAAACACGTCAACAACGAGAACATATCATGTAAGCATCGTCCACAAGCAGGGGACGGGGGTGCGGGCTGCGGATTCGTGGGCGATACTCTGAGATGGACGTTGAATCACATGTGGAGTGAGTGACGGCCGCAACCTACAAGAAATCTCTCTCCCAACGAACAAAATCAAGGGGATGTGTTTACGTTGTCCATATTTCAACTGCTCCCTATTGCAACAACATGAACCAAACGACACACAACTCGCACGATAGCAACACGCCAAACCACGCCGGGAAGCACACGGCTAAAACACAACAGTCCTAACCCTGAAACAGACACTCTTCCCTCTCGCTTCCAAGAGGACGCTCACCAGCGCCTCCCGCCCCTCTTCCGTGTTAGCATCGACCTTCATCTTGGAAGATAGTCGCGCGCTCTCCTCCTCTGTCTCCTCTCCCCCTTCCTCATCATCCTCCTCCTCCTCCTCCTCCTCCTCCTCCTCCTCCTNTCCTCCTCCTCGTCCTCCTCATCCTCATCCTCTTTACCAGACGAGTACTCGGGGTCGTCGTCGTCATCGCCGCCGCCGCCATCGGCCCCACTCCCGTCGTCCCCGTCGCCCTCCTCGTCATTCTCTACCCACACCTTGTTCGCAGCAGCGTTGGCCGCCGCCTTCCTCTTGGGCAGCGACCTCCTCCGCCCGACCACTCCGACCTCCTCCTCCCCGCTCCCGTCATCGCTCGAAGCGTCCCCTCCTTTGGCGGCAGCACGCCTCCGCTTCGGAGGCGACTTCTTCTTGGAGCGGGGAGCCTTGTCCTTCGGGCTCCGCTTCCTCTTCACCCCCGGGCGCACGCCCCGAGCACCCGCGCTGGCGCCTGGAGGAGCGCTCGCTCTACCGGTCTTCTGTCCAGTGCCGCTGCTTGCGCCTTTTCCTGCACCTGCCTTAGCCCCCGCAGTCTCTGTTACCGTCTGCTCCGTCCACGGCATCTTGAGAGCACCATCCCGGATGCTGATCACACAGGGGTGCAACGTTTCAGAGGGTGGGGGG